CCCAGCTAAAGAGATAGGCTTCAATATCTGTAGTCAAGGGCCAAGTCTTAGCAAAACGTATAGCCTCTTTAAAATGGAGCATGGAATCTAACAACCCATCAAACTATGGGTCCTTCTAGTGGCCACGGCTGGAAGTAAGAGACTACCTATTTGGTGCTTCATAAGAAGGAAAGTTTTTCCTCTCCATATATGTTACGTGCCACACAAAATAGGAACACGGGCACATCAGAATGAAAGCACTGGGCTGGGTTCCCTAGGGAGGTGCTGGAATCTCCATCCCTAGAGGTTTGTATATCCTATCTGGACAAAGCCCTGGCTGGGTTGATTGAGTTGGGATTGGTGCTGCTTTGGGCAGGGGGCTGGACTCGATGAGCTCCTGGGGTCTCCTCCAGCCCTAGGGTTTTATGATTCTACCCTCTCTGGTGTGTTTGCAAAACCAGCTTTAAGGCCCTGAAAGCTCTCCCAGTTCTCTCCCCGCTGGGAAGGCTGCTGATGGGGATCCATAGGGGACACACCCAGAGATGAAGCTCTTGATTCATGGAAGCATGGGGGGCAGGGCGGGGCAACCCCCAAACGGGTGAAGTCAGTGGGAGTCTCTCCATTCTCTTCAGCAGGCTCTGGATGAGGAGCAGAAGACTATGTGGCACTCCCATTGACCATCAGCGGGATGGACACATTGTCTTTTTTTGGATCAGGGCCTTCGGGTGAGGAGAGCAGCATCTGGGTGGACCCTCGTTAAGGTGCTCCGGGCTTTTCCGGGAGTTGGGATTCAGGCCCGGCCCCATACTAGCATTACTGGTAGTTGCTATGGCAACACCAAGAGGAGCCAGCCCAGGGTTAGAATGGGCCCGCAGTGTTATTTGCCCTACAACTAGTGAGTGAAAAGTCCATTCCTATAATAACCCCGTCCCTTCGTTTCTTCCCTCCCCTGCACACCCCACAAGGATAATCCGCACCCGCCTGAAGGAACAGCAGACAACTTTGTTCCCAGTATCAAGCCACAATGATGGCGTTGACATGAAGGAGGGAGGGTCCATCTACACCCATCTCTCCCCTCACAGAGGCCATCTGCTTCCGAGGAAAGTGCAAGGAGACCCTGCAAGAAAGGTTCACCTGCCTCCATTGAAAGTCTTGGACCCCCCATAGAGAGAGAGCTGCTTAAGCCCTGAAGCAAGAAGATTTCTATTCCTTCCAGGGTTCTTGGTTCATCTCTAAAAAGTTTCTATTATAATTCTGAATGTTCTTGCAATCCTGCTGAGCTCTTAGCCTCCATGGCATCTTGAGGCAGTGAGTTCCCCAGGTTAGGTATGTGTAGGGCTCCCCTCACCAGAAGATGAGTGCCTCCCAATCATTAATGTGTTTAATGTCCCTCCTCCCCACAAAAGAGGGCAGTGTTAGGGTTGCTTTGGTTTGTGTGAAACCTGCTACCTACTAATTTCATTTGGTGACCCCCTAGTTCTTTTGTTATGGGAACAAGCAAATATCATTTCCTTACTCACTTTCACACCTGTTATAGACCTCTGTCATATCCCTCCCTTCATCTCCTCTTTTCTAAGCTGAAAAGTCCAAGTCTTCTTAATCTCTCTTCATATGGGACCCATTCCAAACCCCTCATCATTTTTGTTGCACTTTTCTGAACCTTTTCCAATGCCAAGATATCTTTTTTGAAATGAGGCAACCACATCTGTACGCAGTATTCAAGATGTGGGCGTACCATGGTTTTATATAGAGGCAATTAGATATTCTCTGTCTTATTCTATATCCTTTTTTTAAATTACTTCATGTGCTGTCATCCATCTTCCTTTGTCCAGGGAGGAAGCTGAGTCCAAGGGCTAGGAAAACCTTGAGTCAGTTCCTCGTGTTAGTTACACAACTCAAGGAAATGGATGTAATGGGGATAAAACTGGATTATATGTAGGATTTAAAACAATGGAACAGGCTGTGGTCCAGAGCCTTTATCCTTCCACACCCGTAGGATAAACGTGAGCAATGTACGTGCAGTAATGCTAATTATCCAGAATGCCTGGGACTCTTTAAAGAATTTTTAAATTCTCTTACATTGAGGGAAACAAAAGACAGGACTATGTAGCATTTTAAAGACTAACAAGATGGTTTATTAGATGATGAGCTTTCGTGGGCCAGACCCACTTCCTCAGATCAAATAGGATCTGAGGAAGTGGGTCTGGCCCACGAAAGCTCATCATCTAATAAACCATCTTGTTAGTCTTTAAAGTGCTACATTGTCCTGTATTTTGTTTCAGCTGCACCAGACTAACACGGCTACATTTCTATCACTATTTTACATCGAGGGGTTTTTGTATCTAAATTTTTAGCAGCAGGCGCTTCCTTGTGGTAGCACTTGTAAAGGCCTCAGTCATGGGTCAGGTTGTCCACTGTGCAAGGTACTGCACAAAGCACATAGTGGAAAAGTTGGTGCATCCTCCTTACGCCAATGGGGAAGTACTTGAATCATGTGCATTTGTTTGACCAGTTTCAAGATATGGAACCAGTTTGGCTTGAATGAAACCGTTTATTTATGTGTCTATTTCCCCAGGATGGCCAACGGTGTGGAAAACCCGCTCTCTTCACACATCTGTTGTTTGGGGAGGTCCACACCAGAGAGGGAAGCATGCGGAAGCTGGTTTGCATGTGACCACCTCTGCAAATGCTGAAGTGTGTCACGTCAGTAGTAGGAGGTGTTTGTCCAGCTGGGACCTAGGAATGTGAATGTTTTACTGGGTGAGGTTCACTGGTAGGGGCCGGAGCAGCCCCCCATCCCAGGTTTGGAGAGGGGAGACAGTAGCGCCTCTGGGACAGACTGCAAAGGAGAGCAGGTTTTGTGAGCTGAGCAAGAGGTGTCCAGGAAGCAGTGACTCTACCATGCCAATGGAACGGTTGCTTTGGGTTCACTAACCACAACTCCTAGAGCCGCTGCTTGCTGGGTTCAGAGGGGCTCTTATGCACAACGGCTTGGCAGAGCATGTGGACGTGGCAGACCAAAGGCCCCGCCCTGGTCTCTAGGAACATCCTAGGAGAGGACCATGGTAACAGAGCCGCTGTGCTTCCTGCTTTCCCCTGAACTGGGACACCAGCTCATTTCCCCACCTCTCTGGGGATGGCGGGCTAGTCTCTGCTGGAACTGGGCCTGCCGGGAAGGGAGAGCCATTCGGAGGAGGGCCACGCTGGTGCTGTGAAGGGGAGGGCCAATGGCCCAGGCCCAGCTCTGCCCGGCAGCCTGGCTGGGAACGTGGGCACGGCCGAGCGGCACCGGACGGGTCCATAGAAATTGCAACAGAGGAAAGGAGGCAAGTTCCCTTGGATGGATCGTTTATTGTCTGTTTCTAAGTGGCCCCAAGGACTGGTCCTTGCTCAATGCTCCAGGGGAAGGCGAAAAACCTCCAGAGTCTCTGGCCAATCTGCCCTGGAGGAAAATTCCTTCCCGACCCCAAATGTGGCGATCAGTTCCACCCTGTGCATGAGAGCAAAGACCCATGGTCGCTATGGGAACGTACCCTGGCCTAGTCCGCACCTCGGATACTGTCTGGCTAGTCCTGGCCCCCAAACCCCACGGCTTTCCTCTTCTCCGAGGCAACCCCCTTCTGACTGAGTCCCAGCAGATGGGACCAGCCAATCCTCTTGGCCCCGTTATGCCGCTCTACACCACCATCTGTCAGCAAACAGGGGAAAGTACAGTTGGGAAAGCCCATTTCTAAGCTTTCTACCCCAAGTCCCCCATCTGAGTCTTTGGGTCCTCACCAGAACGCCCCGCTCCAAATTAGGCTGGTAGCTCTGTCTCTGTGACTCATGATAAAGGAAACAGACAATGTGTGTGGCGCAGGTGATCTTTTCCTGAATCAACTTTTGCTGGATTTCAAGCTCCATAGAGCTCTTCTTCTGGTCACAAGAAGCTCGAAAGCTCGTTTTCCACCCTCATACCTTGGTCCAATAAAAGGTATGACCTCACAATACGGTCTCTGTCATAGCCTGTCATAGCTACACCAAAACTCCTGAAGCAGGTACGTTAGATTCGGGTTCAGTGCATGGATTGGTCCACACAACATGAAAGAAAGAAACCTTTCAGCTAGAATTGGTCAGAAAATGTTAAATATTTTCCTCAAAAAGCTTTTGAAAGGAACAAATGACCGTTTCTGTGAAATATTTACGGCTGGGGAGAGGGGGGCGGCTATCTAAATACAAAACAATTTTTTCCCTTAACTTTTCAGTTTCCAAAAGCCAACTTACTGAAACTTTTGCTTCCTAAATAACTTTCCTCAGGAAAGAATTCTGACCAGCTCTACTGAGGAATAGCATCATTTCCTGCCTCGTTAGACCATGAGACCACTTGCAGCTAGTTGGAAAATCTACTATGAGGTGACTGGATCATATCCTCCAAGACATTTATGCTTCTAATTCCCAGTGACTCTAACAGGACTTCAGTGTGTGAATACTGTTTAAGGGGGCAGACTAGTGACTCTACCATGCCAATGGAACGGTTGCTTTGGGTTCACTAACCACAACTCCTAGAGCCGCTGCTTGCTGGGTTCAGAGGGGCTCTTACGCACAACGGCTTGGCAGAGCACTTGGACGTGGCAGACCAAAGGCCCCGCCCTGGTCTCTAGGAACATCCTAGGAGAGGACCATGGTAACAGAGCCGCTGTGCTTCCTGCTTTCCCCTGAACTGGGAAACCAGCTCATTTCCCCACCTCTCTGGGGATGGCGGGCTAGTCTCTGCTGGAACTGGGCCTGCCGGGAAGGGAGAGCCATTCGGAGGAGGGCCACGCTGGTGCTGTGAAGGGGAGGGCCAATGGCCCAGGCCCAGCTCTGCCCGGCAGCCTGGCTGGGAACGTGGGCACGGCCGAGCGGCACCGGACGGGTCCATAGAAATTGCAACAGAGGAAAGGAGGCAAGTTCCCTTGGATGGATCGTTTATTGTCTGTTTCTAAGTGGACCCAAGGGCTGGTCCTTGTCCAATGCTCCAGGGGAAGGCGAAAACCCTCCAGAGTCTCTGGCCAATCTGCCCTGGAGGAAAATTCCTTCCCGGCCCCAAATGTGGCGATCAGTTCCACCCTGCGCATGCGAGCAAGGACCCATGGTCACTATGGGAACGTACCCTGGCCTAGTCCGCACCTCGGATACTGTCTGGCTAGTCCTGGCCCCCAAACCCCACGGCTTTCCTCTTCTCCGAGGCAACCCCCTTCTGACTGAGTCCCAGCAGATGGGACCAGCCAATCCTCTTGGCCTAACAGGTGCACCATGAAGCTTTTGGACATTGCTGCTTGAATAGCATCCACACCGGCTGCGCGTCCTTCCTCTGAAAGTACAGCCACAGCCCCTGAACTGCACTGGGAGGGACAAGAAGTGTCCTCGCCTCCTGATCAAGGTGAATCCCTGCGTGTCAGCCACGGCTCTTGGATCCTCCCTGACCCTGAGATATGAGAGACCCTGGAACAAACCTTCTGACACAACACGAGTGGGCAAATGTGTGGAGCGGATTGTTTGCTCATTTGTTACACTTACCGAATGCTCCTCTGACCTCTCCTCAGAGCCAATGCTCTGGCTGCGTTGAGTGGAGAGTTCATGGTCTCATATCTCGAGAACCAATCGCCTTCCAGGGGACAGGAATGGCCTAGAATGGATCTGCTCATTTGTACTCGACAATCCACAGCATTGGTAGCGTTGATCACCTGAGAAGGGAAATTAGCTTCACACGTTAGGGACTGACACGCACAGCCCTGGCTGCAGGGAGCAGAGTTCGACAGGTCATTCCATTACTCATCAGGCCCATAAAGATTGCCAAAGGGAACAGATCTGGAAGCCCCTTGTACAAGAGAGCCACAAACACTCACCTGCGGGTCAGTGACGGTCTGCAGCAGTGTTGGACTGAACCTTGCTGATATAGGTGACTCTCTTCATCGTCTTCCTCTGAGGTCCTGTCTGCTGCGTTTCTCTCACCTGAAAGGGAAACACAACCCGTTAACCCTTCTCCGTTGCTACGAGGCGAGTTTCCTCCCTTTTGGCAGCAGTCAAAGATCTTCGAGGAACTTCCTGACATTTTCTCACCTTCCAAGCTCAAATCAGTTGCATTTCCCCACCTGAAAGTGAAAGAGGATCCATTTGCTTCCACTTGAATGTTAAGAAAATGTGGTTTGGTTTCACTTGACAACTGATACGGCCAGTTCCACTCATTCCAACTGAGTGAATCTCGTCTACCACACAATGGCCCTCGGGTCTCCTTCCGTCTGGAGATCCGGGAGCTGCTGTAACAATCAGTTTCTGCCAGGTCGCTTCATTGTCTCTAAGTGTTGCTTTAGCAGCAGATTCCTCTGACAACCTGGGACATGGAACAGCTCACCTCTGGCTGTGAAGCACTGCAGAGCTGCTTCGGATTTGGATTTGCAACCAGCAGAACGATCTGAAGTGACTGACCCTTGTTTCCCGGATTTCGATTCCAAGAGGTATTCCAAGCCCAACCCGCTTAAAGTCTGGCATCTGCTT